CAAGTGGCAGGTTTAGAGTTCAAATCCCAGTGACAGTGAAAATTTGCAATTCTTTCTGTATTACAGCTAACTGTCTTCTGTAATTGGTTAGAATAGGATATCTGTAACCTATATCATACTAGCATGACTGGAAGGACTAAGGCACTTGTACAATGTTGTATAAAGGAACACAAACTGGTACCAAGTGGTGTAAACCTAAGATAAGTTCTTAGGCCATGTAAATCAAGAGAACCAGTTAGGAAGATGGAAGCCCACTTGGAAGACCTGAGTAGAGAGTTAACCCAAACCTTTGACGGTGCTATTGTAAAGACTAAACTTATGAAACAGAGCTAGAACTTGTGAAACCGGGCAAATATGCTAGTTTTTAAGAAGGGACTAGATGAACCAATCAGGCTGCCAGAATTTCTAGATTCTGGAGGAAAAGGGCACATACTGACAAACATGTGAATCAGAGGTGTATAGTTTCGACCTACCTTTTTGGGCTATCTGGAATGGCAGCTTGGTGGAACTTGAATTGAATACCAAAGTAGTAAGAATATGTTGTAAAGTCAGTACCGGGGTTGAGGTAAACTCTACAAGAGCATAGTGGTTTAATGGTATACCCTGACCACCAGTGTTGGTCTTAGCCATAGTGATACCAGGTTAGTTGTAAGAATGGAATATATAAGATTTTAGAAGGTTTAGTACAAGATCAAAGGTTTCTCATATGAGTGAACTGCTTTAAAGACTTAGTGACTATGGCATATTTGAACTGGTATCAACCAGGGCATCTTGTAGGTGTAGGTAGGTGGGTGGATATGGGAACAGAGTGGCTAAATAGGGAACCTACAAGTGGGTTTCAGGTATGGCAGCTAGTGTAAAACCTTCAGGTGGACTACTTAAATTAGACAATGACTAAAGTTGTATGAGTGGCTAGTTGTACACTCTTCCCATGATTGCATCCTGTGGTTATAATGCAACCATTAGCTGAATATATTATCAATAAAATTCTGGGTCACAAGTACTCATCTTAATATTTAAAAAAAAAAAAAAGCTGATTTCAAAAACTATACTAATATTTATATTTATTAAAAGCAAATAATAAATAATAATTTATATAATTTGTATAATAAATAGTATTATTTTTATTTAGTACTAATTTTTTTTGTAATATCACTTTAGATAATAATATAATAACTCTATTTTATAAATTAAATAGTTTACAAAAAGTTATATATTAATAAGTATAAAAAATTTTTATTTTTTATTTTTATTTTTTTTTTTAACCTTAAGCAGTTATGCTAGTATTTTATTAAGGTTCTTAAAACTATATACTTATACAAATATATAGAATTTCTTAACATCTAAGTCTAGCATCACTTGGCCACCTTAATGGCACCTAAGTGCAACCTGCTGCACTATTCTAGTTAAAGATAAACTGCTCATTTAACTACTTAAAGCCATATTAGAAGAGTCTTTCCCCTTTTGTAACAAGCATATTTTTGTCTTTAAAGCTTCTTTCTTCATTTGGTCTGCCTTTTCTGGAGGGTTTTTTTTTTTCTTTTTTTGTTTGTTTATCTTTCTTTATTTTCTTCTTTGTTTTCTCTCTTGCATAAGCATCTTTTTTCATTTTATTCATTATATTGATCTTTTTTTTTCAAGCTTGTACTTTTTACATCACATCCTTCATATTTGGTTATAGAAGTGTTTCATACTGTTTTTGTTACTATATTTATGCACTTTTGTATTGCCTGCTTGCTTAGAAGCCACTCCAACCTTTTTCTTATTTTTAGCATTGTAAGTTTCTTTATTAGCACTTTTTTGTTTGTAATTTTTTTAGCTTCTATTTTTCCAAATAATGTCTTATATGAAACTTGTGATAAAATTCTGTTTTTTTTTTTTCTTTGAGTCCATTCTATGTTGTTGCTATTGCAACTTTTTGAATTTGCTTTCACAAACTTTTTTGTTCACTACAACTTGCTAAATATGTCTGAGTTTCTTTTTTTCCAACTTGGTATACTTGACACTCTGCTGTTGTATATACTTCTAATCTTCTTCTGTTTAGCTCCTCAAGTGTTAGTAGGCTATCCATTATGCATTTGATTGCTGTAGCTCTTCTTGTACTGAGTTTTCTTGATATACAATAAACTTCTTTTGTTCTGTTTATTTTTTTCTAAAAACTTAACTAATTATGTAGTGCATTTTCTGTTTCTGGCTTTAATGTTTATATTGAATTTGTCTTTTTTCAACTAGCTCCTATTCTGACATTTGCTATTATTTTACACAAAAGTCTTGCTGATATATTAATTGTCTTGTTTTCCTATTCTAAATAGTACTTTATTCTATTACATTTGACTTTATCTGCATATATTTTATTTTGGCATTTTGTATCTTTTTTTGCAAGAGAGTCTGCTCTGTCATTTCATTTATTTCACTATGACTTTTAATCTTAATTATTATAAACTGCTGTATACAAGATCTCTTCAGATATTAGACCCACTATGTACTATATCTGGATTTATAATATAGATTAAAATTTTAGTAAATTGTAAAATATCTAAGTATATAAACAGAAATAAAATATTAAAAAACTCAAATATATAAATAGAAATAAATATTAAAAGACTCAGGTATGTAAATAAGAATAAATATTAATAAGATCTAGTATGATATAGAGTATTTGAAATATAGTCTTACTTAACAAATATTTAATAATGTTTTATATGCTGTTTGTACAGCATTTAAATGATTCTTAATATATCGATGTTAATATATTAACTTATTGTTATATATGTTATATTGTATTGCTTTATAGTTTATTAATTCATTTCTTTATTATTTTCTAATAGCTTTAAATAATCTGATTCAATTTCTAATAGTCTATTTAAATTTACAAGTAAATTATACAGTACAATTCTATCAAGTGGTAGGTTACTTCATGATTAAATTTAGTGATAAAACATAAGATACTATGAATGAATTGCATATAGCCAGATTATAACATATATTTTCTTGTAAGGTTGCTTGTGAATACAAACTTTATAAATTGTTTTGTAGCTATAATAGCAGATACTATCTATTTCTATTTGTAGTTTTTCCTTTATTACAATTGTCTTATAACTATTTAATACTAACAAAAGCTACAAGTTATTTTTTAAATTTGTTCATTATATGATAAATTGAAAATGTTATTATTTTTGGATATGGTGACTTAGTAAAGTAGATAAGTTGTCAATCTCCCAAGTGGTAGGTAGGAAGTTCAAAACCCACCAACAGTGAAAATTTGAAAAACCACCTATATATATCAGTACTATAGGCATCTGTGCAATGTTGAAATTACACAGAAGAATGCAAACTAGTATCAGGCAGTGCAAACTCAAGATAAGTCCTTGTGTCAGGTACTATGACAATGGCAATCTGTTAATCAGTTGGAATCAGTACCTGTAACATGGTTGCACCAGATAACTGGCAGGTTATGGGGCATCTGTGCAATGTTGGAGTTATACAAAAAAATGCAAACTGGCATTGGGTGATGCAAACCTAAGATAAGTCCTTATAGTCATATAAATCTGTAAACTGGGAAAACCAGAGCCCACTTAGGAAGACCTGAGTAGAGAGGTAACACAGATCTTCAACAGTACTACTATAAAGGCTAGACCTAAGAAATGAATACCAATGTGGAAGGAATCAGATAAACAAGAACCTCAGGTAAGGGGTACTATCAACTAGGCCACTAGAAGTCTCAAATCAGAGGAAAAGGACCTTGAGAGACAGATCTTGAGGTACCAAAGACAGGTTATAGTCCTATCGAACTATCTGGATTGGAAGTCTAAGGTCAGAAACAAGAGTATATTAAAGTACTAGGAATATGCTGTGAAGTCAATGCTAGGGTCTGAATGAACTCTGCAAAGGCAAATCCTGTTAACAAAATACTAAATGTGGATAGTTAGTTAGCAGAAAGGCCCTTCTGGAGCCCTACAAGTCAAGTGACATACTCTGAAATGTGTAATGGCTTAATGGATATACAGACAAAGAGGTTATGATTAGGTTAGATGGCACTTAGATGTATGGGAACTTGTATGCTATTTGTTAGTATAAGTATAGAGATCAGAGTATTTAAATAAGTAATCTTCTAGTAGATTGCAGGTATGGCAGCTAGTATAAAATCTGCTATGCAGGTGGACTACTTAAATTAGATAACCAAAAGTTGTACATATGACTAGTTGTATACTTACCTTGTACAAGTTATGTAATTATAATTAAAATACAATAAAGGCAATAGCTGCCAATAACTACAGTCTTAGCAAAAGCAAAAAAAAAAAACCAAAAAATGTCATTATTTTTTGACTGCATTGGCACTACTTATCAATATTCTATTTTTCATTACTACACTTATTATGTTTTTTATAATTTGAATGAATAAGAAAGTATTTTTTCAATTCTACATATAAACATATTCAGTTATTTGATCATCATAATATGAATTTTTATTGTAACTTTTTTTAATTAACAGAAATTTTTTTAAAAAAATTTATATCTTTCAATATTAAAAAAAAAAAATTATACTCTACCTTTATTCAAGCTATCATCATTATTATCCATCTTCAAACTATTATATTCTTCATTATTATTTTTGTTTCTACTATTATTATTCCTATTTTCATATCATATTCATTTCTCATTTTGTCACTTTCATCCAAATTGCTATTATTATTATTATTATTGTCTTGAGTCAAATCAACATCTTTATTCTTGTTTGCATTATCCATATTAATATATATATAATTATTATTTTGATATTCTAAATTAGTGACCCAATCATAATCAAATATTATATTCTTCTCAGATCTATCCTAAGTCATAAATATATTACAGCATTTGAATGACTGTTTTATAAGATCAAAGTTAACAAAGTCTTATGCTGCTTTAATACATCTTGTTACCAAATTATAAGCAGGTCTTTGAATATAACCTGTGAGCATTAATTTTTTAATTTCTTTACTCATCCAACTAAGATAGCACTTACGATACTTAAAATTTAAAAAAAAAGTATTTTTGGCTAATATTAAAATTTAGCTCAAATTAAAACAAAATAAACTACCAATTGATTAAGATTATTAACCAATCAGATTTATTAATTTTAACTTTAACTAAACTTTAATATTAGCTATAACAATTATGTAATTAATTAATAATGCTATTTTTACTTATATACTTAAATAAATACACCAATAATTTTAAAATGTTAGTTTATCTTATCCTTAAAGGATTTATTAATATATATATCTAAGAGTTGCAATTTTTTGGTAAGTCTATCTGGAATTACCACAATATTAGTATTTTTTCTTTAAATCTATTTTTAACTATGTCTGTAAAGTGATTACAAAATGAATTCAAAACAAGTAATAAGTGAAAATCAACAAATAAAAAAGCTCAATGTTTCCAGATCTTTTTAATTCAAAAAATTATTTTCTTAGAATTTATGTATTTCTCAGGATTAGTTTGTATAATGATATCTAGTAGAAATATTTGCTATAGTACTTTGACAAATTTAAAAATTATTATAGAAGCAATTTAATATCATTAGCTAAACAACTTAATACAACTGTAAAATTAGATTTCTCATATCTGATTGTATAAATTTCAACTATATAAGCATCAGCTTCTTTTATTGTATAGTTATTAGACATATCAAATGCTAATAGTGTCTTATCCATATTTCTAATAAGAGAAAGAGAATAATTATAACACATTTTATGATATAATACATAACTTAAAAATTCATCTCTTTTAGGTTCTAAGTCCTCTGGTAGTGATTTAAGCTATAAGGTTTTAGTTAGCTAGCTAAGCCAGCCAGCTAAAATATTGGCTAATCAGCTAACTAACAGCTGACTTTATATTATACTTCTAAAAATTTTTGGTAAACTTTTTGCTTAATTTTATATTTATTCATTTTTCTTTTCAGAATTTACTAGAATCCTACTATATACTAAAATCATATGATCTTTAGCTACATTAGCCAGCTGATTATATTATATTGGCTGAATAAACTGGCTAAGCTGGCTTAAATCACTATTCTCTAATAGTCTTTGTACTACTGTATATAGCATTGATTGCTTAAATTATTACAATGCATAAAACCTTTGATCTACCTATTACTTCATTTGTATTCACTGATCATAGGGTAAAATAAAGTAAAACAGATTTGTCTTGCAAGTTGTTGTGCTTTAGTTTTAATCATATTTCAAAATACAATCTTTTGCTTTAAATATAAAGGTTTAACTCAATCTAAAAGATCAACTTCTAAAAGCAAATATTTAGAACAAGCATCAATATTTAGCCATTTTGTATAAGATAGGATATTTTTTAATTCTTTCTTTTTTTAATCTATTCATGCAACTGCTTTGGTATTATATTAAATTGTTGAGCAGTATTTTGCTTGCTAGCCATGAGATTTTTTTTAAAATATATAATAATTGCCAACTTCTTCTGCATATTCTAGCTTCTTTTTCTTTTTTTAGTAACCTTTGCTTATTTCAATTTTTTCTATAACACTTATCTTACTTAAATATACAGCATATATTAATAATTTATAATATTTTAATTTTTACTAATTTAAAATAAATTAGTTTTTATTTTTGTGTATTTGTTGAAAAACCTACTTTATTCAAAATATTTTTTTGTGTTTTGGTTAGAGAACTTGCTTTGTTTAGGATAAGATAAAAATATCAAATATGATAAAAAAAATTTTTTTTTTAATTTCCTACTGCATAGTCACTAGTGGGCTGCAGCTGGCAGCTATTTTATTAGTTTATATTTTAAGTTTACAGAACCTTCTATCAGAACCCTGTCTACATTTTACACTGTTTATATACATTTTACAGTACTATTTATATACTAATTTTGTATTTCTATTACTCTGAAATTTTATCAAGATTATTTCTAATTAGAGATTCCTTTGTTCTATTATTATCCTTAGTCTTCTAATCATTGCGGCCTTTTTATGTCAGGTCCATTACCATTTAAGGATCTGGGTATTGAAGATCTTTCTATTTTCATAATATGCCTTCTGGTATGGTTAATTCATAATTGTAGTTCTAACACAGTTTATATCTCCTGTTGGACTTGAACTGGCAACCTTGCGATTGGTGACCTAAGAGTATAACTACTTCGCTATTAATCCACAAGTCCAAAAATTTTTTTTTATATATAACGAACTATAAAATAATTATGCATATGCTTTTTATATTAATAAGTTAATTAGGTTGTAATGTTTAATCTCATTATGCTTTGAATAAAATATATGAATTTCTATGTAAAGCATATGTTTTTGTTGATATTCAATTAATCTAACATCAATAATTTACCAAGCCCATAAAAGACTCTTTATAATATCTTGTAGTTTTTTTTTTAATTTAATAATTTATAATTTTTTTTTTTTTAACTTGTAATAGTTTTGTAATCTGTCATTACTAAGAGCTCTTGCTTTAATGTCTAAATCTTAAAAATTTATCTTTGAACCAGGAAGATAAGCTTAAACTCATATAAAATTAAATAATACATTCATATTGACTGATACTTATGTGCATTTAGTTAATATTAAGTTTTATAAAATTCAATTATAAATGCTAATTTATTTAAAAATATACTAGTAATATTATATAAAAGTTAATAAATTGATCAACAAATAGTTAGTATACCATATATTAACATACTGAGTAGATTAAAAGTTCTTAAACAAAAGCTTTTTGTTAATCATTTTTTATTATTAGATATATTACATTTTTAATATTAATAAAAGGAACTAGTTTAAGGGCTTCTATTACAATAAATTTTAAAAAAAATAATTAAAAGCACAGCATTCAGTAATTAATATAAATGTCTACTTTAAAGTTATTTTACTTACCTATTAGAATTGGAAATAATTTTAAAATTATATACTCAAGAGTTATTCATATTATGATTAGTATTGGCTATGCTCACAATATTAGAAACTATGTAGTAAAGCTAAAAGCTGCATTGAAAAATTGATTTCTGTAAATAAACTTCTACTAGTTTTAAATTGTTTTTAGTAAAATCACTACCTTGAACTATAAAATCCTATTGATAATACAAAAATGTAAGAGACTTCAACACTAATCATTAGAGATTATTAGAGATTGAACCTGACAAACAAATCTCTACTTAAGTATTATTAGTTTATCTGAGTTATTCTGATAAATAATTATATCTTGGGTAGCTCATAAAATTAATTTCTACCTAGGCCCAATTTCTAAAAATTATACTATTTTAATATTCACCTTAATTGCACAATAGAGTTTTAATTCCTTGTATTCAAAGCCTTTTTACTAATAAAGTTTTCAACTATTTTTTTGGCAGTCTAAATATTGTCAGTAAACTATTAATTAGTACATTATATACTTTACTATATAATTCTATAACTATCCTAATTTTTATTACTATGCTTACTTTTATTAATAATAACTAGTCATTTTGTTCTTACAACTGTCAAGAGAATAAAAAAATACCAAATAATAATAATAAGTCAAGCTGGTTAAAAAGACATTGTTCTATAAAAAAAAAGTAGATAATAGGTTGAAATTAAAAATTGGATATGCAATATGCATATTGATCCTAAATGCCACCTACATAAAAAACCCATATAAAAACCCTTCTCATATATAATCCTTTCTCAATTATCAGATCTATATCTATACAAAAGACCCACAGATCTAATTATAGATTTTAAAATTGGTAAAATAAAACAGACCTGGGTCTTGTATACAGCAGTTTACAATATGTCTATTCTAATGTTCTTGCTTTTAATCAGACCTACAATGTTTTTTATCTATATTGCATTTTTCTTTTTCAAGATTCTTTCTTTTTCTATATTTTGAAATGCTCTATTAATGTTTCTTAATACTGCAATGCTGTTTGTAAACACTTCTACACTTTTTCTTTCTGGCATCATTAGAATTGCTATTCATATTGCTGCTAATTCTGTTATTGTTGCTAAAGGCCTATTCTAAGTCTTGTTAGTTCACCCAAACTATCTTTTCTATTGAGTCTTAAAAAGAGACTACTTATTTGCTTAGTTATTATCTCTTAACTTAGTGTTTTACAATTACCTAAGTCTTTGTACTCAATTGTGTAATTGTTTAATATTCTCATTATATTACACTTATATTTAGCTAAGCATATTAACAGTTGATATATTTTATTAAGCATCTTTTCTGACATTTTTGTTAGCTATAAGAGATATTCTAGTTTAGGAATTATTACTGTATTGTTTATATATGCAATTTGGCTTATTGTCATCTTTTTGTATCTCAAATCTTTGACTGTTTGACTAACTATTTTTTTTGCTTTCTTACAGACTAAAACTTCTTTCATTTTGCTATTTAACAGACTAACACTTCTTTCATTTTGCTATTTAGCCATATTCTTAATGATCTTACAATTTTGTTTTTAGGTTTTTCTATTATTTTACTATGGCCAAATATAATTTCTCTTTCTTTTTTTTTTGTTCTTATGTTTATTACTATAAGTTTTGATTTGGATCTATTTATTTCAATATTATTTGTTTTAAAAAACTCTTTTGCAATACTTAGAATTCTTAATATCTGTTCTTTACTGTTTGCAATCTATGTTGTGTTATCAGCATATACAATTGCTACTTGCCTATAATTTGTAATATTATTATTGCATGCTCTTTTTGTAATTCTTTGTTCTACTATATAGTCCAATGTTTCATTTTCTTGTATTCTTTCTAATAATGGATCATAGAAAAAATGCCAAATTAATAGTGAGATTACCTCTCTTTGGTCTATTTCATCTTCTGCTGTTATTTCTTTTATTAGACCATAAGCTGTGATAACTTTGAATTGCTGTTTATAAAACAGATTGCTTATGTATTTTCTTGTTTTTTGTGAAATTTTGACTCTTTTTAAGGCCCATTTTAGGCTTTTTAATAAAACTGAGTCAAATGCTTTTTTATATATTATAA